CAACAAGGAGGGGAATTTGCCAAATCGCACCACTTACCAGCAGCGATAATAATTTTGGCCCCCAGAGCCTCATATTTCGACTTCAGCTCAATACTTGGCACCTATCGTTCGTGTCTTCCTACACACCCTGTCAGCAATGTACTACACACCTGCATAAAAGTACACACTTTCACTTTGAAGCATACCCTTTTCGGAGTACGGAAGCCAAACGTGCGGTATGGAGGCGCAATCAAGGCTATATACAGGATTCGTGAAATCTGCCCATAAAGAAGATAAGGCTCTTCAAAGCAAAGAATGAAACACTAATGGTTTCGAAAAGTGGTAAAGATGAAGTTCTCCCTCTTTTTCAGTATCTTTGCCTCGCCTTGGGGTAACGTTCCCCTCTTCGCTTCAAATCCTCATACTCAACACCTTCCAGTCTCACATGCCGCTACAATTAGTAATGGAGTCAACCTCAGAATCTTACCTCTAGGCGATTCAATTACCTACGGCATCGGAAGTTCCGATGGAAATGGATATCGTCTTGCTCTCCAGAATATGCTGTCAGGAAATAATATTCAATACGTTGGGTCCCAGCACTCGGGGTCGATGGCGAACAATTCAAATGAAGGACACAACGGAGCTGTCATTAGCCAGATTGCCCAATTCGCATATCTCAGCTTGAAACAGTTGCCGAATGTGATATTACTTATGGCTGGAACAAATGATATGAACATACCTACAGATCCAAATACGGCATCTGATCGCCTCGGTAGCCTGATCGATGAGCTTGTAATTGCGGTTCCCGATGCAGTTGTACTTGTTGCTCAATTAATCCCTTCGATGACTAAGAGCACGGAAACAAATATTGAAAATTTCAATGCTGCTATTGGAGGGATTGTCGCAGTGAGGGCGAATGCTAAAAAGAAAGTGCTTCTTGTCGACATGTCCAAGGCTGTCACGACCAGTGACCTCGCAGATGGGCTACATCCGAACGATGAAGGCTATATCAAGATGGCTACCGCATGGTACAATGCCATTCAACAAGCTTCTTTGAATGGCTGGATCTCTCCACCTCAAGCTGTCAGCACAATATCGAGTCGTACCACTTGCCCCGGACCTGTGCAATGGATCTCGAGGGGACTTGTAGCAGGAGGAGTTGGAGGTGGAGACACATTAGAGCTCTTCTTTGCTGATATCAACGGTGATGGGAAATCCGATTACCTTGTATTAGATGCCAAAGGGGAGACAAAAGCATGGTTCAATGGAGGCCTGGACACTGACGGAAGTTCCATAAAAGTGAGCGCACACCTTTTGACCTTTTGTTGTGCAATCTGTAAGTGCTCTTACTGACAAACTTTAGTGGAATTCTGTCGGTGAGATAGCGAGTGGCGTCGGTAAAGACCGCTCTACCATTCGTTTCGCGGACCTCAATGGTGACGGCCTAGATGACTACCTCACTGTCGATCCCACGACGGGAGCGGTCGCCATGTGGCAGAACGGCGGCGGCTTCGACTCAGCGGGTCTCTATAAGTGGACATCGATTGGTATCATTGCATCCGGAGTCGGAATAGGCGCTGGTGTCTTCTTCGCAGACATGGATGGGGATGGAAAAGACGACTATGTTTGGCTTGATGCCAATGGGGCGGCATATCTCTGGTTGAATGGCGGCACGGGCAAGGATGGGAAATGGATATGGACTCCAAAGGGCAAGATTGCCACGGGAGTTGGTGCCGTTAGGGAGGATATTCGGCTGGCTGATATTGATGGCGATGGGAAGGCGGACTACCTCTGGGTAGATCAAACGACCGGGGCAACGAAGATGTGGAGGAATGGCGGGGTGGGGAGTGATGGGAATTGGATCTGGACGCCCCAGGGAGAGATTGCTACCGGTGTTGGGGCGGTTGGGTCTCTTGTTAGGTTTGCGGATTTAGGGGGTACAGGCAGGGCAGATTATTTGACCATTGTTCCGAACTCGTTGGGAGTGAGGCAGTGGTTGAATGGCTGTGGGACCGGATCTGGAGTCGTCACCGTGACGTACGTAAGCGTCACTGTCAGTGTCAGCACAGCAGCGGGTACTGGCAACAGCATGACCAGCGATCCGACGGCAACTATCACTGGCAACAACATGAGCATCAACCCTACGACGACTCTAGCAGAGAACAACATGCCTGCTGGTGCTACTAGCCAGGCCATTGACTCTGGGACTTCGACCACTTCTGCAGCGAGCACTGCGTCTGGAACGGCAAAGAGTGGTGCGGAAGGTCTTCGAGGATTTCGAGTTGAGAATATGGTGTTGTTGGTTTTCGTGGTGGCTGTTGCGATGTAGCAGATAGCATGAGGGTAGAAAGTCTACTAAGAAGCTTGGTCATCGGAGATACGAATCTTAGAAGCTGGAAATGTGATTTTAATAGACCCTTGCGGGGAGTTTACAAATGTTAGGATATCATCATGACGAGCCCTTGGAAATGATAGTCTTCAGCTCTTCCTCTGGGCGCTAAACGCACAGACTAGCCCGCAGACAGGTCCCACCCAGCCTTGTAGAGGTACATCGGAACGTGACCCTTGCGCCACGCTTTACTGAAAATGGTAAAGCGGCGTGCAAGAATTAATACGCAAAGTGGGGCTGACTTTTAAACGAGAGAGTGTTTGGGCGAAGCCGGTTTCGAAGTTTACTATAATAATTTCCTTTTAATTCCTTTCTCAAAACCAGGATCCGTTTTGGCAACCGTACCGGGATTCGTTATTGGCTCCCATTTAGCCTATTAGAAGCCAACTTTATTTGGGCTTTGGTGGCTAAAATTAGCTGCTAATTACTATAACCTTATAACTTTATTACTTAATTATATAAATATTTATTTACTAGAAGAGAGCTCAAATAAGCTATATATACTAAATATAACTCTATTATTATTACTATTACTCTCGCTAAATCTCTTATTATAGAATTAATTCTTTTACTAAAGTTATTTTAATAAATATTAATTAAAAGAATAATAAGACTTTATAAATTTTATAATATATAAAATATATATATAATTTTAGTCTTATATTATATATTACTTGAAATATAAATATATAGTAAAATTTAATTAAATATTATATTATAAATAAAAGAAGTTTTTATTTTTAATATAATATATAATTCTTATAAAATAATAATTTATTTTCTTTTAAGAAATATTATATTATTTATATATATATAATAATTATAAATAAGTAATTTCAGAAAATATTAAATATATTATAAGAATTTAGGAAAGATATAAAATTAATAAAATAATTAATATAATATAAGTTATATTAAAATATATATAAATATAAAAACTTATAATAAGAAAAAAAATAATATCTTTAAAAATATAATTAATAATTTGGGAAATAAAATCTTTAATACTTTTAAATAAGATTTATTATAATAATATTTTATCTTATATATAAGTATCGGTTTACTAGTAATATATAATACTATTATATAGTTATAGAATACTATTTATATAAGGTTAGTAAAGTTGTTATTTAGAAGTAAGAATTATAGTATTATAGTATTAATATATAATTCCTAAATCTACTAAGCCTAAAGGGGTCTAGTCTACTGGTCGAGTTACTAATAGGATATAAGGTTATATAACTATATCTTATATCCCATATCTTATTACCTATATCCTATTACCTATATCCCATATCCCGTATTCTATAACTATATATATAATTTCCAAAGAAATAGCTATACTAATAATTATATATATTTATTATAAAAATAAAAATATTTTTATAAATTTTAGTTTTTATAGATTATAGTTTTTATAGATTATAGTTTTTATAGATTATAGTTTTTATAGATTACTAGTTTTTATAGATTATAGTTTTTATAGATTATAGTTTTTATAGATTATAGTTTTTATAGATTATAGTTTTTATAGATTATAGTTTTTATAGATTATAGTTTTTGTAAATCTATTAGTATAATAAATATAATAATATAATAGGGATTTAATTATTATATGGTTTTCGGACTATATATAGGCGTTTGAATATATAGGAGAGGGTAAAGGGAAAGTAATAAACTAAGTACTCAAAAGTAATACTCTCAATAGTAGTAAGAAGTAAAGCAAAGGTCAAAAATAAGGGGCTCCAAAGTGTAATAATTGGGAAGGCTAATCGTACATATGGACGGAAGTCTTATGCAACCCCTTAAACTAGCGCCAGCATGCCTGGGAAGCAGGACACGTGACGGTAGTCACGGGACAAGAGAGAAAAAACCCCACCACAATAATATATTTGAAGTCCCTGGCTAAAAGAGGGGCCTAAAGAGGCCCCTTATTAAAAGTTAATGATTTCTAGTAAGGTTGTTCCTAGCTGTGCCGCGTCGCATAATAGGGGGTGAGCTTGGCCTGAGCTGAGCCCGAGCAAAGGCGGCGCTGCTTGCATGAGACCTAGAGTTAGGAAGAGCAAACATTCCGGTGGGCAACAAAACGTAACACACCTAGTCACCTGGCTGGAAGTTAAAGTTCATCTCATTATTTAGTATTCTGGGGAGCCGAAGATCTGGACAATAGTGTTTATTTCTGCCACTAATATGCGCACTGCTCTCTCATTATCTCAGTCCATGAACTCAGCTCGCATATGCGCACGTCTCTCTAGAAAGTAACAGCCAACAAACTCCCGTCTGCCAGCAGCAAAGAACCTCCAAATATGCATATGAACCGTGTGAAAGTAAACTCCCCTCCAGGTATGAGCAATTCTCCCCCTCTCCCATTAAAGCAAGAAAATCAAAGAAGACTATTCGCCGATTCGCCTCGCAATCCACCACCACCAACCTCCAGTCCTCTGGAGGAAAGCAAGAGCACCGGAACAGCAAAGGCACCGCTAAATGCAAGCAGACGACCAGCCACCACCTTTCGACCCATCTATCAGTGAAGAGCAACGCAACGAGTAACGCCTTTCGCGACAAAGGAAAAGACTAACTGTACAGTTTATATCAACATATCACTCATCCCGCCACCACATCTTCATCTCGCTCATTCGCTATCAGTGAGCACGATGATCTTCATGGAGGTTTTGGCAGTCTCCATTGGCTTTCCCTTTGGGTGTCCCGTAGATTCTTTTCTAAGAGGTTTGATGCTACAAGATCAGCATCGTAAATCCAGACATCAAGGGGGTTCCAGAGCTCCAGGCACTCACTCCTCATCGTCGCTCACTCCAGGCTCCGGGATCTCCTCGTTATAATCAGGGTCCGCTTCAGGATCATCCTCTGCAAAATGCTTTCTTTGGCGCTTGTGAGCTTGGGGACTTCGAGACGCCGAAGAGCCCGGGCGAACGCCGTTTGTCTTTGCCGAGGTGGGATTATCCAGTTTCCGCTTCTTGTTGCTATTGACGCTGGAAACGGATGGTTGTCGGTTGCCTATCGAGGAAGAGCTTGGTCTTGGGCCCAAGCCGGTGCCGTTGCTTTTATGAGACACTGCTGGTGACGGTCGCCGAGCCTCCTTACTCTTGTCCATCTTCTCATCGAGGTCATTTTGAAGTTGCCCAAACTTATTAGCGCTTACTTGCAGATTGTCATTGTATTCGTTCCGAAAATCTGAGACTTTCTTGACAACCTTTTCAAGTTCTGTGGCAACGGTTGTTACTTTCTTCGATATGTCGATACCGCCATCCGTTAAAGATTCGACCTCCTTTCGTAGCTCATGATAATGCCGTGTCATGGCTTCGGCGGTCTTTTGGTCCTGCATCGCTTCAAGATTCCGAATAATGCCTTGGAGAGCGTTCATTTTCTCTCTCAGCTCCTCAATTTGGACTGTTTTAGCTTGCATGTCCGTTTTGTACCCAGCTAAATCGGCCTTAAACCCAACCATAAGCGCCTCAATCTTCTGGAGGTCTGGATGAAGTTCGTATAGCTGGCCGAGAGCGTGCTTGGACACTTCCAACGTGTTGATGTTATCCACCCGCCATTGGAGGTTACCAAGACTCAAATTGGTGGCTTCGATCGAGGTGTGCATCGGTACGAGCGCTTGGTTAACAATATTAAGGGTCTTGTCAACATTGAATGGAAGCAAGTCAGGCTTGGTTCTGAATTTGGCAACCACAGTTTCAGCAGCACTTTGGACGATATAGATTTTCTGAACCTCGTCGAAGGCTACTTGTGGGCGCTCTTCGAGACTGCTGCTTAACTGAGATGATTTCGCTTCGAGGGATGAGATGCGAGTTTGAAGCCTCTTCGATTCCTCTTCGATCTGCTCATTGAGAACACCGGTCCAAGTTGTATCGTGTACTTGCTGCCATTCCTTGAGTTCGTCGATTTGCTCCCGTAAAGTGTCGAGTTGGGGCTGAATGTTGGCCGCGGTTGCTGGGGTTGCCTGAGAATTTGATGCTGTTACAGCAGAAGCTCGTCGTTGTTGGGTTTCAACCTCAATTATCCGCTTCTTAACATCATCGAAATCCGCTGACCGCAAATTTGCTATATCCACTTCAAGTCCCGTAAGCCGTTGATCGACATTGGCCTCGAGAGCTGTTCGGCGATTGCCAGCCTTCTCAAGAGCTTCAACTCGTGCATCGAGAGCTTCAGAACTGAACTTAGTAGGAAGAGGGTGCTGTGCTGGAGGTGTCCGCTCGAGCTGTCTGACACGGCCCTCCAGGGCATCTAGATCCTTCTTTGTTCCCGGATCCCTTACATCACGAGGATTCTCTAGCTTCTGAAGTCTTGTATCGAAAGTGGCTGGATTGGGTCGCTGCTCAATATCCTCTACACGACGCTGTAGCAGCGCCGAATTCTCACGGAACTGCTTTTGAGCCTTAGCAAGCTCGGTGATATGACTGACGAGCCCAGAGTTCTGGTCTTTTATCTTGCTGAACCTGTCGTTCAAGCTATCAATTTGCACTTCGGTATCACGTGCGGCTTTAGGAACGGTTGCAATACCCTTGAGCTCTGTCTGGATAGCGTCGATCTCCTTGATACGGGCGTTAAGGGCTTCAACTTGTTGGCCCTGAGCCTTGAGACTGGAGGAGAGTTGAGTGTTGTCTATCGAGACTCTCGCAGCGTCTCCCTTAGCTTTCAAAAGGTCCATTTTAAGAGATTCGATAGCCTGGTTTGAATCCTTAGCTTCCTGCACAACCTTTTCAACTTTAGCCATATCGGTCTCAAGTCGATGCTGAGTTGAACTAGATTGCCCTTGCACCGCTTGGACCGTATTCTTAAGTGCTTGGTGCTTTTCATCGACAGTCTTTGCAAGAGCTTGGCGCTTCTCTTCCAGAGTCTGATTAGCTTTGCGTTGTTCTTCCAGGATCGTTCTTTGGTCATTGGCCAGCTTCTCAATTTTTTTCTCCAGGCTGTCTATACGTTGCTGCTGGAGATTTTCTCGCTCGGTGGTTCCGCCACCTTGTGCTACCAGAGCTGGTATCAGCTTCTCTGCTGCTTTTACAGCAAGTCCCGTCAGCAAAGATTGCTTCTCGTTCACCTTATCGGTTATGGTCTTAAGGTCCTTCTCGGCTTTGACTTTCGATGCAGTCTGTGATTCCTTTATCGAGGGAAACCCATCGTGGTGACTCTTGGACTTTTCGTATTCAGAAGTCCTTTTCTCGGCACGCTTCTTAGCTGCATAGTGTTGGGACTTGAGGGCTGAGATCGTAGTCGCCTCGTTGATCAACTGCTCGAAAATTCCACCTAAAGCTTGCATAGCCTCTGCCAGCGTCTCTTCACTTAAGGGTGGCATCTTTGCGACGGGTGCAGGCGCTGCCGGTAGTGAAACCGGGGCGTTCATAGCACGATTTTGCCAGGAATCTGCAGGCTTAGTGCTTCCTGTCCCTGAAGCTGGCGCTTCAACGCTGGCTTTCGGTCTCTCCTGTTGCTGTTTGCTTAATCCGGAGGGGATGCTAGTCTTCGAAGGAGGGCCAAGTTCGCTCTTTGAAAGGGGGCTGCTATGACCGGAGCCGCCGCTACTTGGGCCTGAATAAGGTTAGTCAGAGCTCATAAGGCAGTGATTAGGAAGGTGAATCTAGTCAGTCTTAAAGACAGAAATTTAAAGGTGAATATCGTTAATCTACTATTACTCACGTCGGGAATCTTTCAGTGACGGTCGTGTGGGAGTGTCATCATATCTTGGTCGATAGCACTCAGCTCCTCGTACGCGTACTTCCTCTCTATAATCGTAAGAGTCGTCTCTTTCAGAAGGGCGTCTTCGGTCACGGCTTGGGGATCGAGATCGTGAGTGTGAGCGTTCGCGGTGTCGCTCACCGTACTCGCGCGGCGGCTTCCAGGTGGCAGAAGTGAAGTTGAATCCGGTATGGTCGCTCCTTGGGCCTCTCGGCGGAGAGACTGGACGACCGCGTTGCGGAGGCGAGTCTCGCCGGGAGGACATGGTTGGGAGGGGAGACGAGGACCAAGGCTGGGTGGTGGAAGGAGAACTCCGACTAAAAATTTCCTCGGTGAGTTGTCGGATGAATTCTCTTCTCGCCTTCTTTTTCTTAGAAGTCATGGAGTATTGGTCTGCACATTAACCAATGGTCAGTAACAGCTTGGCTCATGTTCATGCAATTGTACAGTAAATATGGCGAGAGTGACGGTCGAGCGGTGACGCCGATAAATCGAAACGCGGAGGAGACAGGGGATTGAAATAGACGGCGATGGATTTAGGAAGCAGGATTCATTGCGCAAAGGCAGTAGTGGCAGTCTGAATGGGTTCTGGAGAGATGGTCGAAGTTGAAGGACATGAGGTGACTGAAACAGGGTCGCCAAGGTATAACGTACCGGTACCAAACCACCAGCGTATCGTATCGTCCGCCTTCAAGATCAACGGCAACGGCAACGGCAGCACAGTTTGCTCGCAGATGTAGGATTCGCATTATCAAACCGCAGCGAAGGCGAAGGCTCGGTTGGTCGTGGAGAGGTGTGCGTGCTGCTCTCCTTTGCGGTGGTGGGGGGGTCGAACCGTGAAGCTGTTTTTGGAGGCACTGGACGAAAAGAGAGGTGACGTGACGACTAGACGGCAAATCGTCGGACCGCGGACTATTTCTTCGCAGAGAATGGGGCCGTCAAGAGAAGAGGGAAGAGAGAAGAGATAAGAGAGAAGAGAAGACAAGAGAGAAAATACGGTCAACGCTGGCTCGCTCGCTCGTGGGCGTGTGGTGCGGTGCGGTGCGGTAAAGTCCGTGCAGGAGCAGAACCAGGCAGGAAAGTTTCTACAGTAAGCATTTATGGGATTTATGATCCCGGACCCGCGCTTCGCTAACACTATGCCGGAGACGCTAGCAGGGCCGAGCCAAACCTTCGAAACCTGATGTAGGCTAGTGCACGGGCCTTCTTTTTCTGGACAAACGGATAACCCGACGTCCGTGTTCGCTTGTGCCACGCTCTGATAAATTAAATCTCGAGGCTGATTTTCTGAGAACGAGAATCAACCACATCGCTGCCGCCGTTCTTCTTCCCACTACCATCCCGATACCCCCCACACGCCTTCAATATGGCTGCTGTAAGTAGAGCCCAATCTGCAGCCCGTGGCTGATGCTGACACTTCCAGACAATCCAAACGGTGTCCGAGAGCAAGGAGCTGCGCGGGCTGAATCTGATCGCTGCCCATTCCCACATTCGCGGCCTAGGTGTAGATCCAGATACACTCGAGCCTCGAGCTTCATCACAAGGACTGGTTGGTCAGGAGAAGGCGCGTAAGGCTGCCGCCGTGATTCTGCAGATGGTGAAGGAGGGGAAGATTGCTGGTAGAGCTGTGTTGATTTCTGGGCCACCGAGGTACGCCAACCAAAATTGATACACTATCAAATTTCTGACAGTCACAGCACTGGAAAGACCGCTATTGCCCTGGGAATGTCGCAGTCTTTAGGCTCAGATACACCATTCGTCATGCTATCCTCCTCCGAAATCTTCTCCCTTGAGATGTCCAAGACCGAAGCCCTTGAACAAGCATTCCGGAAGTCGATCGGCGTGCGGATAAAGGAGGAAAGCGAAATGATTGAGGGAGAAGTCGTTGAGATCCAAACGGATCGAAGTGTGACAGGAGGAACGAAGCAGGGCAAGCTTACGATCAAGACAACAGACATGGAATCAGTCTACGACATGGGAAGCAAGATGATTGATGCGATGACGAAGGAGCGCGTTATGGCTGGAGATATCATATCGATCGACAAATCATCAGGCAAAATCAGCAAACTTGGACGGTCATTTGCCAAGTCACGCGACTACGATGCGATGGGTGTTGACACCAAATTTCTGCAATGTCCAGACGGGGATTTGCAGAAGCGCAAGGAGGTGGTACACACAGTCAGCCTACACGAGATTGATGTCATCAACTCGAGGACACAAGGTTTTCTAGCACTCTTTTCTGGTGATACCGGCGAGATCAGGAGTGAGGTTCGAGATCAGATCAACACCAAAGTCGCAGAATGGAAGGAAGAGGGCAAGGCTGAGATTGTGCCTGGTGTGCTCTTCATTGATGAAGTGCACATGCTGGATATCGAGTGCTTCTCGTACATCAACCGTGCTCTCGAGGACGAGCTAGCCCCTATTGTCATCATGGCAAGCAACAGAGGCAACTCAAGAATTCGAGGAACCAACTACAGAAGCCCCCACGGCCTTCCACTAGATTTCTTGGACCGAGTTGTTATTGTCAGCACACATGCGTATGTCAAGGAGGAGATCCAGCAGATTCTCTCCATCCGTGCTCAAGAGGAAGAGGTGGATCTCACGCCAGACGCCTTAGCCCTGTTGACCAAGATTGGCCAGGAGACAGGTCTACGATATGCCAGTAATCTGATCACCACATCACAGCTCATTGCTGCAAAGAGACGGCAAAAGCAGGTTGGTATCGAGGACGTGCAACGAAGCTTCGCTCTTTTCTATGATTCAGGCAGAAGCGTGAAGTTTGTTGCCGAGTTCGAGAAGAGACTCATCGGGGACGGAGGTGCAGTTAGTCTGTCAGTTACGAACGGACACGGTGATGCAATGGAGCTTTCATGAATTGGTTACGAGGCGTTGGGAGCGAATCATAAGGATTAAAATGGGTAGACATATTGTACAAGTAGCAAAAGTAGGCGTCGGAGGAAAACCGAGTTAACATTATAACATCATGGAAGCCAGAACCGCCTAATTGCTGTACTTGTGACAATTACTTTTGGGTATCTTGTTTCATACTCATACAAAGTCCACCACCCTTTCCCAAGACCCATGCTGCCCAACTCTCCGAAATTCAACGCCTTCACCAAAGTAGCCCGCATCTTGCCACGCCACCATTGTTGCTCCATCATATGGGCCTTGTTTTGCAGCACCATCACGCCCATCTGTCCACCTGTACTCCCACATTTTCACAGGTCTCGAGCCATCAAGTTTCTCCTCTTTTTCTTCAGCTGGTGGCTCAACCCAGTCTTCACCTGTCTCCCTTCGGTACTGCCTGATGAGCATTTCCCTTTCCTGCTCATAGATCTCCGTTTGCCCTCTCGTAAGCAGCTGATCTGCAGCTCCCGTAATCTCGTTGACAGCTTCTCGAATCTTAACTTGCTCAGGGTCTTCTGTTGGTTTTTCTGTGTCAATGTCCATATCATTGCTGTTCTGCCGTTGCTTCTTTAGCTTCCACTTCGGGACCTTCTTCGTTTTTGTTTGGTTCTTCCCTAATCTGGCCAGAGCTTCTAGAACCGTTTCCCCTTTCTCCAACCGTAAGATCAATGTTCGCAAGATGTCTGGGAGCAGGAGAGCATCGTCTTCGAGTCTCTTTTGCCGTAACTCTGCTTCCCTCCTCTCGTGTGCTTCTGCTGCTTTCTTCATCTCCTTTTTGCTGACGCCTTCCAGCCATGCATCGTGCTTGGCATCCGGATCCGCAGCTTTCCTAACAAAGTTTCCGGCTTCATCGAATCTTCCTTCTTCCTGCTCGGCCTTCATGTTGAACGCGTCGACTTTTGGGGCGTTTCTTTTCAAGCCTCCAGCTCCAACCTCTTGGTCGATATCCTCTTCCTGGGCAGCTAGCGCAGCTTCCTCCTCGTCATCACTGCTCTCCTGATCATCCATTGCATGAGTCGACAGCTTCCCCTTCGGGTCCAGCGCAAAATTGCTCGACACATGTCCACCACTCTTACTGTTCTCCACCTGCCCCTCGATCTTGTCCGCATCTAAGAATCTCACTTCCTTCCTCTTCTTCTTCGTAGCCAAACCATCCTCATCCTCTCCACCCTCTTCCTCTGACCCACCAAACATACTGTCGTCGTCGTCATCATCATCTACCTTCGCCTTCCCGTTATTTCCCTCCTTCCCATAACCATCAAGCGCCTCCGCAAGGTTTACCTCCCCCTTCTTTCCCTTCGCTCTCTCCTCAGCCCTAGCGTCAAACCCCTCATTATCCGAATCGCTATCATATCCATCCAGATTCACAGCCCCACGTTTCGTGCCAATCCCACCCCCAATAACATCTGCCTCGAGAACCGCATCTTCTTCTGGCGCGTCAGGTGCGAGTGCTGAAGGGTTCCTGATATCGAATTTGGGTTTCTTGCTTGAGGAGGGGCCGCCGTCGTCTTCGCCGTGGTGGGCACGAGCAAATTGCTCACCCGCACGCTTTGGACGCGCTGCTGAATAACGGGAGGTCATTTTGTGGTTTGTTTAGCAAGTCATAAATCGCAGGTCAGTTCTGGAAGGGACTGAGTAGTGAATGGTTGTGGCATGTGGTTAGATTTTCGGAGATAAGATTGTCCGCCAGGCACTGCCGAAACGTCATCTTTGTGAGCTTCGAGCTTCTTTCCTAGAACCGCGACACATATTCCGACACCGACTCAGAACAACCCGGACCACTTCCTTGACCTTCTTTCACACTCTCTGGACCAACATGGTACGTATTCCCTTCAGCTTCTGTGAACCGGACACTGACAAGCCCAGTCGGCCTACGGCTATTTCCAAGACGAGGATCCGTTGGCGATGTACAACATGATCAGACGAGGTCCTCCCAAACGCTTCGATGAATATTACCGCTGCTACCCCACGGTCATGCTCCCCGGCCCAGAGCGAGAAGATCTCAACTATGGCGGAAAGATCATTATGCCACCCTCCGCTCTAGAGAAATTGACCAGACTGCACATCACCTACCCAATGCTCTTCGAGCTCTTCAACGGCCAAGCAGAGAGAACCACACACTGTGGTGTCTTAGAGTTCATTGCTGAAGAAGGGAAGGTGTATCTGCCACACTGGGTAAGCTCCCTCTTTCTCATATCTGGACTTGACACTGACAAAGCCAAGATGATGCAAACCCTCGTCCTCGACACTGGTGACCTTATCCAAATAAAGTCCACCGACCTGCCCTCCGCCTCCCTCGTCAAGCTTCAACCACAAGATACCAACTTCCTCGAGATCACCGACCCGAAAGCCGTCCTCGAGAAAGCCTTCCGCCAATTCTCCACCCTCACAAAAGGCGACATCTTCTCCTTCAAATACAACGACACTATCTACGACGTCGCAGTCCTCGAAGTAAAACCCACATCCGACAAGCTTGGTGTCTCGATGCTGGAAACCGATGTCTCCGTAGACTTTGCTCCCCCAGTTGGCTACAAGGAACCACAATCAAGCCGTACGAGCGGAACTTCGACACCGAGATCTGCGGCCGGTTTACCTGCTGGAGGGATGCTGCATAGTCAGGGCTCGATGGCACAAGCAATAAACTACGATGCTATTGCACCATCTTCTAGCTCCGCTGCCGTAGGCGCAAAAGCCGTCTCCTCTAACTTCCTTCTCGGTGGCCAGAAACTCAACTCCAAGAAAGGCTCCAAAGCTCCGACACCCAAGGCCAGCACACCAATTGCAGGACAGAGCACCAATACACCGAAGACGATTACAAGAAGAACTAATGGTCCCCAACCCCTGAGATTGGCCCCGAATAAGCTGTTCTTCGGGTATGAGATCAAGCCCGTTAAGACGGACGCGGATAGGGAGAAGGAGAATCAGGGGCAGCTGCAGCCACATTTTGCAGGCCAGGGACAGACGCTGAGTGGACGAGTGAAGAAGGACAAGGACGAGAAGAAAGAGGAGAAGAAGCCTGCAGAGAAGAAGCCGGAGGTGGGACGGAGATTGGATGGTCGGAAGGTTACGTAGATATGGATAGGCAGAGGGGGTGGGAAGGAAATGGAAGATATACATGGATCATTGGAGAAACTTTCATAGGCGTTTCTAGAGCGTGGGGTTCTTGGTGTTGGGACGCGACATGATGGGACGGATATCTGAGGGATTGGCCGCTGGCTAGAGCAGATTGCAATGCGGAATCTTGACACCATCTCCTTTCCTTTGTGATATTTGAACTTTGGGTGCTCTGAATGTGTTGTGATTTCTTAATAGAAAGTACAGGTCGAAGTGGCCTGCATTACACGAAGTAGCTCGATCATGTTTGCAGTCCGATAGGTGGTGATTTCTCGAGGCGTGAACGAAGTCATTCTTCTGATGCAAGTGCTTGATTGTAGAAGCGTCAGTTGCATCTAAAATGAGATGTAGAAAAAGGTCAGGGTGTTTGGATTGGATTGCAGAGCAAGAACATCAACATGTTCATTTAAAGTTCAGGCGTGCGGAGTGGGAGCTCGATGTCGCGGAGACGGTCATTGCGTTATGGGGACTGTTTGAAAGGGAGATTGAGGCGTAGTTGGGGTTGATTCGAGAGACACTCGGCATTGCAGGAGTTTAAGGTTGGGGATTGGGGGGGGGGTTATGATTGGAAGGGGAAGACGGGTGGGCTGTGCTGGTTAGAGTTAGAGGGAGAAGGTATACGCTGATGGAATTGCGGAGAGGATTTGGAAGTCGAATAGCCGGGAGTCCTTGAAAAGCGAGGTGTGTGGGTGCGGTGTTCGTGAGGGGCTAGGGTTGGCGTTGAAGGATTAGGGGGTGAGGGAACGGAGTGTCGATGAGAAGTTATGAGGAGGGGGCTGCTGGTTATTGGGTGATGCGTCAAGTTCCTCGGGGGGTTGATTAGGTACGCGTAGGTTTATGCAAACAGATGAGTTATCGGTTAAGGGATAATAGGCCGGTTCAACCCACTAAGACGCCATTTCCGGAGCATTTGGCGAAAAATAATTCGATTCTAGCTTGCCGGGTTTCGATCAGGAGGGAACGGAACATTTTCGGAAATCAGGGGAGATTCATCGGGACGATGAGTTTGATGTAAGGGGGGGATGGAACGGTCATTCGAAATCGGATTAGCAGGGCAAAGAATAGGGGGGGGGAAGGAGTCAGATCCTCACATTAGGAAATTGAGTTGGTACAAGGACGCAATCCTCAAGAATTCGAACCTCGATGTCCTCCCTGAACCGAGATTCCGATCGCGCTATTCTTGGCTGAATACCCCTCGGCGGTATCTTGTTTGGGAAGTCACGCTAGATGGTGATGACACACCGCAGAATGAATGGTTGGATAAGTTGGGGACATTTATGGAACTCTGGGAGATGGACAATGGTGGGAGGGTTTTGTTGTATGTTCGAATCATAGAAGATCAGGAGAAAAGGTTTAAAGCGGAGAGAGCTGCGAAGTTGGAGGCTGATGATCCAATTGATACCGACACCGAGCTGGAGGATTTCTGAATGGAGATTTGGGGTTCATGATCTCTTCTTGGGAGGTTCTATTCACTGGATTATGGAGTTGCACACATATGAGTGGTCATTGGAAAGGTTTCTGGATGGATTCTTAGTCAACTGTTCCATTCTCCAGTTCCTTCAAGATTATCGCTTCAATATCATAGCAACACTTCAAAAGTTGAGCACTTTCTAGACTCGCAATCGTGCTCACCTTAAATCGAAAGTATGCTCCGTAGCTTGTATTTCTAGTTTTTCAATCGTTTCTGGAGGCCAGTCCGTTATTGTTGATAATTTGGCGATTTTGGAATCGAGGGAAAGAAGGAAGTCCAGTTGGGGGATGCTGAAGCAACGCGGGAATCATCACTCCAATGACCAAGTCCCAATACTTCCGAGAGCCGCACACAACACAGAAGAGTTATGATATTTGATCCAGACTGAATGACAGAAATTTTGGACATTGGAACCAGGAGGGGAGATGGAAGAAGAAGGCTCAAACAAAGAAAGCCACTACTTTTAGTGAAGCGCTAATAACCCTACATATTTATTAGCGAGCCAGTAGGGGATGCCTGTTTCAACGTTCACCAACCTCAACCTTCACTATATCAACATCACAAACCACTTCCTTGATCAAAAGCAGAATATACATGATCGCATCGCCCAAGAAAACATCAGACCTCCCTATCTGCGTTCATTATAGCAATTCAAACTTAAAATCAAGAAACTACTTCACTCCGACGACAGCCAAGATGAAGCGGGACCTCATTCGCACAAGGCTGTTGCCACGATGCACTTCCAAATGCTTCACTGTAATAATTCACCTTCTCACCTCCTCTGTACACCGGGTCTATCGCGGGAAGCCGATAATCAGCAACTGGACCGACTCGCGGGCACGTGGGGGCGCGTCATTTGCGCGATGAGGATTCTCGGCATCCTCGTCTGCATACCTCGAACCTACGAGAAAATCAATTTATGCATCAATATATATCATATCCTTAATTGACCCTAGCCAAAATGTGTCTCTCTTGCTCATCGAAGAGGACCCTCGATGTGTGAGTATAAGGCGAAGGAGCTAGAACCTGCGAGGATTCTAAAACGTGGTAGGTTTATCGACTATTGAGCGAAAGCCTGTGCTAACTGATAGGAATCTAAGGTGTCTCTATGGCGCATGGACCCTGTTTGTTAGCCTGGTTTTCCCGTGCTGGAAATCGCGCGAAAGTTCTTGGTTACTCTCAGCTTAGTCTCGGAGTCATTCCTAAGCCGCAACTCCTTCGCCTTCAACTTCCCTGCACCTCAACACCAACGCGGTGCCAGCTTTCGACCGTGTCTACCTCTTTCATTAATCTGCTTGCCTTACCTTAGCCTTCGACTTGAAGACATTGTTCATCACCACCGCCGCCGCCACCATGGGTGGTACCTCGAGCCAGGTGCTACCTCCTGGGGCGGTCACATACCTGATCAACCATATCTTCCTTCCACCTAAGCTCCCGCAAACGGACGACGTCAACATGGAGTACGAAATCCTAATGCTAGACATCACCATTGATCGCCTTTCGAAGTTCAAGGGTCACATGCTCGAGCACAGTGTTATCATCGACGCGGCCATTGCAATGATTACCACTTTGAGAGATGTCCGCGACTCCCTCTCGACGGGTGCTATTGATGAAAAGAAGCTTAGAGGCGGCCTAGCAGATCTGTGTAAAGAAGGTGAGATTGTCTACGAGTTTAAAGTGTTTTCGATTCAGCTAATTCGGCCAAAGGTGGGACCATTCCGCTTCATCTTCGCGCACAGAATTGCGGAGCCTTGATTAGCAAAGTAGGCGATTCTATTCATTTCGAAGCATTTGAGCTGTCTCCTCTCAATGAAGCGGTCGTCACTACGAAAGGCAGGCTTCGGCGATCTTTTCCAGGGCGCGTCTTCTCCGTGGACCTGAAAATCTTCGAGCAAGCTTCGTTCTTGGAAACAACGGCGCAGACGATTTCCAAAATGAGCCACCAAGTTGCTGCGGGAACACTCCCCAAAGTCAAGAAAGCCGGCCGAATGCACGATGAGGACAGGGATACCATTCATCCGAAGATGGTCACCGAGCTTTTTGCTGCGTTTCTGAGATCTGTGGGTGAGCCTGTTGATGTTTCCAGCCTTTGGAAGAACACCCGAGAAGAAGTTATGTGGGAAGATAGTAAGTTCTTCTTTCCTTTTTCATTTCGTTGTCACCTCTCGGTACTGGTACACGGACATTCACGTTCTTCTGTTTTGAGAGAGAATCCGGCAAATTCAGATATCCTGATCAAGCAATGCTGACCCCGAGGTTGATCAGGTTTGCGACCATGGCGAAGATCCCCGCTGTGGTTGCTTGTCCGGGTTGCCTTACAACTCACCTTTTCTCGATCTCAGGTTGAGCCGGACTCCGCTGTTGACTTGTACAAGGCGTTTATGGTGTTTCTCATGAGTTACATTCTTGAAATATCTCAACAGCACTCCGTCCTCAGCGACCTTATCCATGCGATGAATGCCAAGCTAGTCCGGCGGTTACTTAAACTTGAGTACTCCGTTGACGGACCAGTCCTCAGTTCGGTTCAAAATGTCATGCGGAATGCCAACGAAATTCTTCACAAGAGATGGTCGAACATCATGGAACGAAACCGGCAAGACCATGAGCTTCCCCGCCTAGAGCACCTGGATTATGGGCATGATATTGACATTGCTCTCCCCGCACTGGATGTGTACCTCAAATCGATGCGTCAGCGTGCGATCAAGAAAGTTGTACTTCCGTTTCAGCGGGCAGCGGCACTGGTCAAACATACAGCGGATTTGCTTCCAATGTGGTCATCCCCTTCAACCCACGGATACAATCTATACAATCTTAAGGCTGTCGAGGCCTGGGTAGCTGCGAACCTGAGCACGTGGTTGGAGTCTCATAGGGGCGAGCTGAACACCTGTCGAAAATTGGCTGATTTAATCCGGAAGTACCATGGTCACGCATGTCAATTCTACTCGGCAAATCCTGAGGCTACTTCTATCATGCTGCTCACTATTTTCGAATTATGGATCGCGTCCGACGAATGTGCTACCCAAACTTGCGAAATTCTTAGAGACTATGCGCCCGGTATTCCTAGAGAGTTACTTGAATCTCTGGTGCTGCCGTTCAGTTCTCAGATGGAAAGACTGCTTCGAGTAGAGCGATATTTAAAGTGCCGCAATGATACAGCAAGATTTCCCGCCTCTCATATCTTCCACGACTTTGGAGGCCGAACCTCCTTTTCTGTGAGATACTATAACCAGTCCCCCGAGCATCAAGATTTGATGGAAGAGATCGTACAGCAAGCGACTGAAGCCAGAAACAACAAGCGCCTTGAACTTGAACAGAAGAGGGCGAGGTACGAGGACTTGATGCACCTTCATGACGAAGCCAAGTGTGAATATGACGAAGTCGTGACGGATCGAATCAACGATTTTCGAGAATACCGGCATAGGGCCCGTTGCAAGAAGTGTTCCTATAAAACGCAAGCTGCCGGATTGGATATCAAAGTCCATGAGTGGCCTCTTCCCGACGATATCCAGAAAGCACGTTCCACGGTCTTTGAGCTTAAGGTGCCGTCCTTCTTCGGTCATTGGCGAGACGCCACTATGTTCCTCGTTCTCGATGTTCTCAAAAACGAATATAAATCGAAGCAAAGCGCACGAAGGAAGTACCACCTGAGAACGTCCAGGGGTCTCTCATCCTTTTACAGTACATTCAGTTCGACGCAACGTATTGGCCTTCTGTCGCAAACCAAACCGCATGAAGTTACACACCGCCGTGATAAGCCAGTCTCCACCTCAACGGTGAAAGAAGTTTGCCTTGGTAGTGGGTTAATGTACCGATACTATGACAGCAGCTGCGAATGTTTTGTTGACAACCTCCAAATGACTGACCAAATGGCGAAAGCCTGCATGTACAAACTACCTGATCAGTCGTCCGTCTTGCAATCATTCCTCTTTCGTCCATCGGCCGACTCCAATGGCCCCTCGCCCAATACGGTCATTGCTATTCAGGCTGAATGTCCCAATTATATGTCACTTGATGAATTCAAAGCTCTCAGTGCCATTCCACTTGGCTATCGGCTTCAGTGGCAAAACATCTTGCTTCAGCTCTCCGTGCCGGTAGTTGACTTCAAGACTGCCGAGACAGGATTTGTCATTCTTCAGTCAATACACCAAGCTGGGCCTTCTAGCAATGACAATATCCTCAGACCAGGTCATGACATCGTGGACGACGAGAACTTTGCAGACGCCCTCTTGAGAGCTCTCCATGACGCACTGAACAGGGTTAAGGAGAACTGGGAATCCTCCCAAGCTCTCAGCATATTCATCTCTTTAGCCTCACGACTTTTGTCGCTAAGTTCTAGCCAGCAGATCAAAGATAGGTCTCTTGCTTATCTAGGTGATATTCGAAGTGTTGCTCTCAATTGGGTCAATCTTCTGAGGGATAAGACCCAAGGAGCCCTGAATGACGCTCAGAGAATGGACTTGTCTTCAAAGGCCGCTGAGATTGCCTTGACGTGTGTGGATTCTTTGAATCTTGATGAAAGATATCTGGATGGTGTTCTGTCCGATCCGGAAGTTGCATCAATTCTCATTCAATGCTCCATTGTCATTCAAGAAGGAGAATTGTCCATTTCGAATACCTCCAATGCTCTGATTTCCCTACTGTACCAGCGTTGGCAGGAGAACTCGTACCGATGCTACCCCATTTTGGCCAGAGAAATTTTGGAAAAGGGGTCGAAATTTCTAGAGGACGCAATAAAGAAGTCCTGGCCAGCATATCGGGCGGGATATGGTTGGCAACGAGTCTCAGCACATCTGGAGTATTGGCTTGTGAGCCAGATGACACCTCAAGGGGACGGCGAGAGTGATCCACTTTCGATCCACTTCAATCTCTTAACCAGCGAGCTGCTTGTGAACGGGGTCCCATTGGCACGTCTACCTTCGCAATACGAAGGTCATCCGACATATCGCAGCCTATTGGGGAATTCTCTTGTAGAAGTAATGCCCAGCACTGTCAAGGGGATGCAGTTCTCTGGCAAGAAAGAGCATGCTGGATACACTCTTCACTTCGGCTTCACCGGTCCCAACTCTGGCAAAACGGACAACGACCTTCTAGTACAAGCCGTGCAGGGAAATCTTCATTACGAACTCGTGCCTTCTAGGGTTTTTCGTGGGCATTTCCCGGTGGCTTTCGTCGACCAGTTTGTTCACTGGTATGATATCAAGAACGACTGCGTGGAATTTCGCCCGATTGAGAAACCTTGGACCTCTCCTCAGGACACGGACAATTGGAAATTAAGCAAAGTCAGACCTGGTTCTAAGTGGCAGTTGCAGAAGGATGGCATCTGTTTGGTTGGATTTTTAAGTGACTCTGCTGAAGTATTATCAGGCATTCTCTCTCCCCTCGAGACTCCGGAACGGATACACATGAAGCTTCACTATTCTGCGTCATCTTTGGAGATTGAGCTTCCCAAACTTCAACTGGGATTCAGCCTTCAATCGGGTGCGTCATTGGTACAATCAAGGCAATTCCCTGGCATGTTCATTGACCCAGATCAATCCCTTGGTACTCTTGTTGGTTTCCGCAACAAGCTCATGCTGAAACACGAGACTGACGATCACCGTCTGATTATACTTCCAGAGGGAGATGTATCATATAGTAGAGACAGCGATCATGTCCATGTCAGGATCGACCAAGAATCTGCCTTGAGGGCTCATGCATATCAAATAGACGACCAGCTTGGAAGACTGGTCGACAACGGCAGTTTGCAGAGCAAGCTATTCTTGGCCTATATCCACGCCCTCACATCCTTTTGCTTACCCGATCCTCTCTTACATAGAACCGGGACCGAGCAGGCACTCTCAATCCTGAGCTCTGCTGCTGTCAGATCCTTCGATCGACTAGCAAAGGAGAACATCGAATTACTCTGTCAAATCGCGCGGCTCACCCCTGGAAGACGCTACTATCCAGAGAACGAGCGGGTAATGCAAACTGTAGACTGGTCGCGAGAACTCGGCTTTCTAGCTCAACACGGGGGTTTCTACACGTGCGTTAAGTCAATATTCGACCAAGCGAATAGTGCAAAGATATTTCACTCGGAAATTATGCTGCCACAGCTACACCGCGTGGAATGGGATTTGTTGGAGCGGGATTGTATTCGGTCATCCACATTTCGGGTTTCAAGCTTTGGGGCCGAGGATCACACGACCATGGAGGATACCGAGTACTCTGCCAGGGATCGAGAGCAAATTTCAGCACAGGGACTGAATGCCTTTGCAATGTCCAGCATCATCTACCAAAAGCGGTCAAGTCTTCATTCTGGTGTCCAGGAAAATCTGGGACTTCATCTCTGGAATTTCCTCAAGGAAACCGCCCAGATTCTCGGTCCATGCCATCCATTACCGTCTTCGGACCTTAAATATGACTCCCTATTGCTTTCTGGTTCGTCTGAGTTCATCTCTAGACATTGGCTCAATCTCCATCGGACTTTTAGCCAAGGTTCAGGCGTCGACCAATTTCACTTGATGATCTGGCTTTCAACACTAGCATATGCGCCAAATGCCGACTTAAACATCATTCAGGCACTCGCCTCCTTCTTCACCCTTCCAGCTATGTCTCACGTGCCTCTGCCAACCTCCGATTCCTTTCGGCTACAACGTGGGTTTGGAGTCGAAAAGCGCGAACTTCTTAGCATTGCCGAGTCAGCTCTTCTTCCGCTAGCTGATTCCCCCGAGGCAAATCTTACGGCCATTCCCAAGGAGAAGGAGTACGATTTCAAAAAGCGTCAACAAATTGCATTTGAGAAGAGTCAAAGAGATGCACTTGATAGACGGGTGAACGTCTTGGAAGCTCAATGGCCATGTGAAGTTCCAGCTACACCTATCGACCCAAACACGACCAGCTTATTCTCCAATCCTACGAACGACTTCAGCCTGTACATTGACATTAATAAGGTTGTCCAAGAAGTGAAGCCGTTATTTAAGGCATGGACCGAGAACAGCCAGTTTCACAAATATCTCCATCAAATTGGAGACATACTCACAAGCCAGATGGTCAGCCCGTGGAAGACACGATTGCCTTCTATCACTACTCCAGAATGGAGTCCTCGCAGAACGCACGGTTATATTTCCATTGATGACCTTTTTATCCGTTCAGCTCCTATGATACCACCAATTACTGCGATGAACATGCCAGAGCTCTTGTCTTCTGTTGCTGGTGAAAACAAGTCGATATCCCGTCTCTCTGCATTGATAGAGCGTCTCGAAACTGACGCCAGCTCTAACTACGACTTGGAGTATGTCAGGGACCTGCGTGAAAGTTATTCCTCGCTGCAGTACCGCAAGAAGGAATACCTCTTACGATGGGACGCAGCGGCCATCAAGGAAGCTCTCACTGGCCACTTAAGCCTCTGCAAGGAACAAGTCCACAAGATACATGAGAACATTATGTCAGCGCTAAGTTCACCGATTGATATCAACAACTCCTCTACACAATTGTTTGGCTTTTCAGCAATAGCTGTTGATGTCGGGCAGTGGCCGAGACTCTCCCCGATCATTCTTCTTCAGCAGCTCACTCGCAGTCGTTGGCCGAAGATCTCCCAAGTTTGGAAGAGCTACGTCGTTGGATATGGTCTCGCTCTCTCTAATCTCCAACGAGCGGAGCGGCTCCTGCGTTTATGTGGCAAAGATCTTGAGCTCGTTAAAGAGTTGCAGAATTTCGGACACACAAATTGGCATCCTTTCGAACATCCGGAAGCTTTGCTGCTTGAAATCGAGAGCGGTATCACAATTCGAGATGTTCAGATAGAGATAGCTCGACAGATGACGGATCCTCCATCTGGTCAAAATTCTGTCATGCAACTGAACATGGGAGAGGGAAAGTCTTCCGTGATCGTCCCACTCGTCGCTGCCGCTCTTGCTGATGGCTCTCGGTTGGTCCGGGTCATCGTGGCCAAGCCGCAGTCTAAGCAAATGCTCGAGATGTTGGCTTCCAAATTGGGAGGCTTGCTGGATAGGCGAATCTACCACATGCCATTCTCTCGAGCTTTGAAGCTGGGAGAAGCAGAGGCATATGAGATCGGCAACATCTACAGAGAATGCATGGCAGTGGGTGGTGTCCTTCTTGTGCAGCCAGAACACATTCTGTCATTTAAGTTGATGGGTCTCGAGTGTCTGATTTCTTCCAAGGAAGCAGTCGGAAACTCTCTGTTGCGTACTCAGCACTTCTTCGACACATCCTCCCGTGATATTGTGGATGAGAGTGACGAAAACTTTAGTGTCAAGTTCGAGCTGATCTACACAATGGGAATGCCGCGACCCGTTGAATCCAGTCCTGACCGGTGGATGTGCATCCAGCAGGTGCTTGAGCTGGTCAAGTTCTTTCTCCCAGCTGTCAAGAATAAGTTTCCCAATTCTATTGACGTCCATGAAGCCCACCCAGGGAGTTTCCCTAGGACTCGAATCCTCCGAGCCGATGCAGAACAATGCATATTCAGCAGCATTGCAAAACGCATATGCGAGACTGGATTGAACGGCTTCCCGATCGCCAGACAACCAGCGTCAGTGCGACAAGCCGTTTTCAGGTACATCACCGAGCAAAATCTCACCACGGAGGAAATTGACCAAGTTGAAAACCAAGGTCCTGGGGGTTTTTGGGCAAACACGACAAGCAGTACCCTGCTCCTCCTACGTGGTCTTTTTGCTGGTGGAGTCCTCGCTTTTGCATTCAGCCAGAAGCGCTGGAAAGTCAATTACGGACTTGACGCTACGAGGCAGCCGGGCACAAAGGTTGCTGTGCCATACAGGGCCAAAGACAATGTAAGCTCACTCATATCCTAATTTGTTCCTGTGTGGTATGGGGCGAAGAGTGTGGGGGCCGCCAGAAACGTCGTGACTCTTTTGTCCTTCTGTCAGAGAACAAGATTGCTCGAAAGTTTCAGCTCCATGAAGCCTCCTAAGATATTGATTTGCTAATTCTTCGGCTAGCCAACTCCGCGATCAGAGTTCAGCCATCCAGACGTTGTCATTGTTCTGACCTCACTTAGCTACTACTACGGTGGACTGAAGAATGACGACCTATTCCTTGCTTTCGGCCACCTTTCGAGATCGGACCAAGCGGATATCGAATATCAGGTGTGGGTCAAAGATGCACCAAACTTAGAGCAATCTTTCCATCATCTCGTTGGTGTGAATCTTAAAGACCAAATACAGTGCGAGGTTCAAGTATTCCCCGATCTCCGATACTCAAAGGGTGCCATCGACTACTTCTTATCTCACATTGTCTTTCCTCGAGAGATGAAAGAGTTCCCGCATAAATTGTCTAGCAGCGGATGGGACGTCGGTCAGACCAAGACCCACCCGACAACTGGATTCAGTGGCACGAATGACTCTCGCGTTGTTCTTCCCCTCAGTTTGCAACATGTCGATCTACAGGAGCAAAAGCACACCAATGCCTTGGTTCCGAACTACCTCCTTCAGGAGGGTAATTCGATTGCTCTCATGCCGCCAAGATTTTCATCTTCTAGCTCAGATGCGGATCTTTTGCTCACTGAAGTGACAAAGATGGCAATACCAGTAATCATCGATGTAGGGGCCCAGATCCTTGAACTGAGCAATGAGCAGGTTGCGGGGTTGTGGTTGAAGAAGGTTGCAAAAGATGACCAATGGCAAGCTGTTGTCTTCTTCAATGATAGCGGTGAGCTTTCGGTTCTCGATCGGAAGGGAAACATTGAACCGTTGCAGATATCTTCATTCGCAAAGAGACTCGGCGTATGTCTCGTATTTCTAGACGAGGCTCACACCCGAGGTACCGACTTGAAGTTACCACCAAAATATCGAGCAGCCGTCACTCTCGGCCCTAATCTTACTAAAGATAGATTGATCCAAGGTAGGTCTGGACAAGTACCTTTATTACTCATTACTAACACTCATAAAAGCCTGCATGAGAATGAGGAGACTCGACAATGGGCACTCGGTCGTCTTCTTTGTACCACAAGAGATCAGTAATAAGATTCTGGCTCGAACCTCCAAAATCTTCCCCACCAGCATTGACGTGTCGGATGTTCTGAGCTGGGCTATTTCTGAAACATGCGTCGATATTCGAAGAAGCATGCCTTTGTGGGCAGCTCAAGGCAAACGATTCGAAGAACAGAGTAAGCTTTGGGCCGAAGCTCGGACCGAAGGTGGTTTCGCCATGTCGAAGAACCAAGCAGAGAAGTTCCTTGAGGAGGAGTCTCGCAGTTTGGACGCCAGATATCGACCGATTTCACGCACTGATGTCGCCTCCTTCATACAAGAAGGTCAAAGTAGGGACCTCGACCTTATCATTGAGCGCTGTCGACAATTCCATAACCTGGAATTCAACTCTGCCACTCTTCAAGAGGAGCAGGAACGAGAACTGTCCCCAGAGATCGAACAGGAGAGACAGGTGCAAAAGCCTGCACTTGCCACACCCGCCACGCACCGTATTCATCCCGATGTGTGCAAATTCGTATCTGACGGTATCCCAAACCTCCCCTCGGAAGGTTACAAGTCTGCTTTCGAAGCGCTTCGCGACACTAGCGCAGCTGCACACCTTAACGTCAATCAATTTCCGAAGGATCTTCTCCTCACAGAGGACTTCTCTCGCACCGTTAAGATCTCTGGGAAATCTTACATATCCGACGCATTTCAACGGCCTGTACAATGGATCCTCACGAGTACAGCTTGTGGAGACGACAACACCGTCAGATACCTGATGATAGTCAGCCCGCATGAAGCTCAACAACTCCTGCCAAATATCAAGACATCGAAGAAAGTTGCGTTACACCTGTACACTCCACGACCCAACTTGAGCTTTCGTGCCTTGGATGGATTGGATCTGTATACTGTGCCAGCCCAGACACAACAACGAATCGTACCCCGATACCTCGTCGTGCAGCTAAATTTGTTCTCGGGACAGCTGTACCTCAGTTCGTTCCAGGAGTATGTTGAAGTTTGCAAGTTTTTGGGTCTCGCATGGAACAAGACGGAGGGTGATTATATTGTTGCTGCTGATGGATTCATCGTGCGTGGTGGTTCAGGAACCTCGGTGTCGATTTTCAAGGAGAGCCCAGTCAAGTTCTTGAAAGTACTCCTCACGAAGATTCGGCGAAACTGTGAAGGGATCGATAAGACTCATATGGGAAAGATTCTAGACGGTAGATTGCTTCGCCCCTCCGACTTCGGAGAGGAGGAAGATATCTGACACTGTCTTCAAGAATTCATGTACTTTCGGGGGGCTGAGAGACAGTACATAACATAGCCAGTGCAATCAATCTGCTTTCTCTAAGTCCTCTTCTCTCTTATTGAGCCTTTATCATTCAGGATTGGGAAGTCTGAATATCAGAAAGACTTCATTTCTCTATTGGTAATTCACAGTTTCCTCTTTAGTGCGATGTGCCATTCACAGTGACCCCATTAACCTTCCGCACCAGCTCTTCCTCCGCGTTGCGATCAATATAAATATCACCATTCTCATCCCCATACTTCTCCTTCAACACATCGTACCTGAACTTCGCAGCAGGGTGCGTTGACGGAGCGCGCTTGACACCAGGTTCGCGTCGCAAGTTTTCTCGGAATGTCCCTCCTGGGACAGCATAGTCTTTCCACATAATACCACGCTCTTGCAGGACTGGGATAACCAGCTCGACAAAGTCTTCATACGACTCGGGGTTGGAGATGTCTTGAAATTGAGCATCGTTAGGTTAAATGCTTTGCAAGGCTGGAGACAGGATTTGTGTCACTTACAGGCAACGTTGAATCCATCAATATCGCCAACATTGATCCACTCCTCCATGACATCTGCAATCATATCTGGGGTTCCAATCGGCATGTTACCGCCTCCACAGAAAGCCATCCGCTCGCCAAGTTGGCGAGGGGTAAGGGGCTCTGGGTCTTTCTTGACGTTGGTTCCAACACCTTCAATCGCAACCCCATCCTTGATCTCGTTGTAATCAAGCGGTTCGTCAAGCGGATACTTACTGAGATCAAGATTCAAGTATCCACTCAACTTTGCAAGGCCACCTTCCCAATCAACCATCGTCTTGTACTTGTCATACTTCGCTTGCGCTTCCTCGACCGTCCTCCCAACAATCGGGGTCATCGATGGGAAGAAATTGAGATCTGTGCCCGGACGACCCTGATCCTCCGCCATCTGCCTCATTTCCTTCACAAGGATAGCGATATCTTCCGGTGATCGTCCACCGCAGAAAATCGCTTCCGCATGTTTAGCCGCGAACATCTTTCCCTGCGGCGATCCACCAGCTTGGAAAATAACTGGTGTGCGTTGGGGAGAGGGGTGAGTGGCTCCGTACGCAGTCGTCTTGTGGTGTTTTCTGTTGAAGAAGATCTTGTGGATCTTGTTGGGGTCGTAGGCTCCTTCTGGCCGTTTCCAGGTCTGCGCTCCGTCTTCCCAGGAGCCTTCCCAGAGGCTGCACGTGATTAGTAGGCCTTGGGAGGGGGTGGTTTGGAGACTTACGAGTAGCATAGGTCCATGTATTCGTGTGCTTCTTCGTAGCGGAGGTGTTTAGGCGTGATAGAGTCTTTGCCCATTGCTTTTGCGGAAGCGTTGCTGTAGCTTGTGACCACATTCCATGCTACTCGGCCTTGGGTCGCATGATCAAGAGTTGACCACGTTCTGGCGAGGATGAAAGGCTTCAATAATCAGCTGAGGTAATTGGCAAGGGCGTGGACAGCAAGACGTACGTTAATATATGAGGTGCTTCCTGTAATTCCAAAGGAAACATTTTTGGAAACAGCAGCCATAGCAGACACCCAAATAGTTGGATCTGTTTGGCCAACACTTCCACCTGATCTGTATGCTGCATCTGCTTTTCCTTGGTATGTCTCGTGGCCTGTCTAACGTCAGATTTCACTAATCAAATATATATTTCCAATCGCGTACGTGCCTCCGTAGGTATCTGCAAAGAAAATGCACGAGATCTTCCCTTTGTCGGCCAACTTGGCCATCCACATATAATAATCAATGGTGTCCTTAGTTCTCGAGTTGTCTCCTTCGTTTCTGGGATTCAGTGATTAGAATTTGAACGTGATTAGGGCAAGCTGTTGATTTCATGTTTGGATTGGAAGAGGCTTACTGCCAGAGACCCACCGCCATGTGATTGCCAGTGCAAGTCATCTCAAAGAAGTTGATGTGAATCTGTTTCTTAGGCGCCATGTTGAAGAAAGTGAGATAAGGTGTAAAGGAAGAGGAATCAAAGCAACTCCAGCAAATTTTCACAGAAAATATGATCAATGTGGAAGAGGGATTGGCGTCGAACAAGAACGAAGGAAATGATGCTTTTCTAGCAAATTTTATGAGAAAAGAGAATGCTTAAACCTATGCAGCAAAGAAATCTTATCTGTGAATCGTTTGGCTATAATATATTCGGGTAGAGCCGATTTAAAGATGAACCGATTGCGGGAATAAGTATCCGACCCTTCTCTCCACTTTCGGCAGCCCCAGCCGAAGTCTTAATAAGATTTTGATTAGAACGAAGATATATCATTGGCGGCGTAAAAGGACAAATGGAAAGAGCTGTCCTGCCAGATGCGGTACAAGGGATACACTTCCCAGTCGGCTTGGGGAAACTTGGGCTCTTTGTTATATTGGTCACGTGATATAAATTACTCTGAGATCCGCCGTTCCCACCAATGATCGAAGGACAGCGTAATTTATCTCAGATCAGTATCAATAGGATGAAAACTAATAGTCGGACTCTTGGTGCTCCATAAAGACCATCCCAAAGCTTTTTTGCACCACTCAGAGAGACGTCAGCCCCCCTTTTCGATCTCGCTTATGAAAATTCCCAATCTGGTCGTTGCGCCCAGTGTGCGAAAAAATAAATCACATTGATCAAATTAATTATGAGTATTTACGAGTAGGCTGATCAGAATATAATAAACGTAATACTTAAAACTTTTGATTAGATTAGAATAATTAGTCATGAAGATTCATGAGTACTTTGATTAATGTGCACGTGACTGCGTCACGTGATAAAAATTAGCCTAATTAGGTGAGGTTGTCCCTCTCTAGCACTATCTTAGCAAGGTTTACTCCTTACTATTTAGGTAGCAAGGTAGTGCTAGAGCGAGAGCCTTACCTAATTGAGTTAGCTTGTCACGTGCTGCGGTCACGTGTACATTAATAAAAATTCATGAATATTCATGATTGGCTTAATTAATTCGTGAATAGAATATAATCAATAAGAATTCTCCATGAATAAATTGAGTGGCGCAAGTAAAAGAATGCGTGCTATTATCGACATGGCATATCAAGATTGGAAAATTTAAAGGCTGGTTTCATGGGAGTTACAAAGATGTTTCGGGTGTTTCATGTTTGCATCATTATGTGTTCTCCGAAAGAAGTTACGTACAACCCAAATATGCTGTCTATATACCTACCAAAGAGTATGGCATTCCCTCAATCATCATCATCATCATTATCAACAGCTAGCAATCATTACACCAAAAAGCACCACCACCTCATCGTTCTCTCGAAGTGATTAATTCATCGCACTCGGAGGCAGACTGGCAGGCGGAAAGCACCGATCAGAGGCATCTGCATTATTCCCCCACCAAAGCGGGAACGTCTTATTCGGCAGATTAAGACTGAATACCATAACGGTTTGCATAAGCTGCGTACCACAATCCAGGCCAACACCAAGCAAGTAGTTATACTTCCTGAACCAAATGGGGTGGTAATGGTAAACGTATCCCATACTAAAATTGTCCAACGTCAGCAGCTGGTGTGTTACAGGGGAAGTGGGGGCGGGACTTACAAGAAAGCAGAGACAGCAGAGCTAGTCAACAGGTTCGCGGTCTGGTAAACCGGGAACCAGACACCGCCAGAGAAGATTAGCACAGGATTGAATCTGGTCTCGATTTTCCAATGGGGTTTCCATTTGTGGATGCCATAGGTGATTAACACGCAGATAGGCCCGACGAGGAAGCCGTAGTAGACCCATGCGTAGGGGGAACCAGAGCCAAAGAAGACCTTTGGGCCAAGGACACCCCAGAGCACGGATTGGGAGTAGAAGTTCCGGGTACGAACCGCGTTCCAGGCTTGGGAAACGATTTTGCCGGTCAGTTTGGGGCCTTCGTTATTAATGATGAAGCGCATCATGCCGTAGTTGATGAAGGGCCCGAGGAGGGTGCCCCACACTTGCCCGATGAACATCTCCTTCTCGGGAATCTTCATGTAGAAGCCGAACTTGTAGTCGGAGACGAGGTTCAGGTTTTGTTCGAGGATTTGGCGCCCGTAGACCATGCAGGTTAGGACGGCGAAGGGCTTTCCTGGGAACATGGCTCCGGCGATGACTTCGCTGAGGAATTGCATTCCCACCTGCATGTTTGCGATACCCCAGAGAATACCGTTCGGGAAGGTGAAAATACATGAGATGACACAAATAACGATGAAACCCCTGAAAAAGTTAGACAAGCAAAACATAATAAGGATGGGGATGATTCTTACCACCATGGGAGTTGCATGTCGGCTGCGTAAAGCTGACCCAGAGCCAGAGCGGCGCAGACTGCAAGAAGTGCTCCATACCACCAGTGACGAACTCGGGGAAGATGATCCATGAGCTTGAGGTATGGGTCATCGTAATCGCTGCGACGATTTTGCCAGCCGTCTTTCAGACCTGCATATGCTTGCTTGCCATACCACAAGATGGAGTAGAGCATTGCGCCGGTGGAAGCGGCGAATCCACAGAAGAAGTACATCACGTAGGAAGTCGACCACTTTGGCATCGAGTAGTTATCAAGGGCTGTCTGATTGAGCGAGTGGTCCGGGTTCATAATTCGGGAAATGTTATATTTAGTCCCGGTAGCGTCCCATGTTCCAGTCGACATTGGTGCGTAGTTCTTGGCGTCCAGGAAATTGTAGAAGTACATCAGAGGATAGATGAACCAGCACAAAGCCATGGCTCCAAGGTAAGTGTTGGCGTTAGCCCAAAGTGGTGTGTACAGAGGCTGCCAGAACGTGATATAATTCCAGTCGAGACTGATGTCTCCCAAACCCTGATCCAATTAGATACTTGAGTCTGTAAATAAGAAGACCAACTCACAAAGCCGTAGTATCCAGATCCCAAAATGTAAGCGATCCAATTGCCGTGTCCAAAATAGCAGATGAGAGGCAGAGAAGCCAAAAGTGGGAAGATCACTTGCGGAAACCATTCGTAGCAGAATGCGGCGACGGCAACAATGCCGAAGAATTTGAGCGAGCTCCTCGTCACTGTGGGGTTTCTGTGCATAGCGTTGAACAATGAGACGTTGGGAAGAACCCCAGGATAGTAGATCGCGGGAGGTCGGACTAGGATGTCTCTGAACAAACCTGCGAATCCGTAACCAATCATTTGGGTTGTGATTAGGAAGAGAATTCCCCATCCAGCGTTGATCTTTCTACCGTAGTAGAGCTCCATTGCTGACAATGGACCGAGGCCGTATGCTGTGTAGCACTGCAATACATTAGCAAAAGTGAAAGCGGTTTCTCGGCGAGCGCGTACAGATCCCCAGTATGCCACGACAATGAGTGCGTGCTCCTTTGCGTTCCATGGACCAGGATTGAGACTCCATTTCCAACCAAAGGTGTTGAAAACACGCTTTGGAAGATAGGTTGCCATTGCTGATCCCATTCCCCAGGCCAACAGTTGGACAGCGTAGCTGGTAAGAGACATGGAGTACGGCTTGAAGTAGTAGAACGAAGAGATACCGCATCCGATGACGACCCAGAAGGTAGAAAGAACCCAAAAGCGGAACGTGAGAATTGGCTCGCTGTGCTAAATTAGAAATTGTTCAGGTTGCAGTGGAGGTTGAGCTTACGTATCGTCATTGTGAAGATCAACAGTCTTCCTGTACACAACATATTAGACTGGCTTGCTCAAGGTCACGGCATCTGAGGGAGTGCTTGTCCGCCGAGTTTACTTACGCAACGAGTGGTATAGGATAGTCCTTTAGTCGCGGATCTATGAATTCATCGTTATCGTCAGGAATGTAGAGTTTGTGTCCCGAGATATTGTCGATGTCGAGGTCTGAGGAATTCGCGGCTTCGATCTCGAGATCATGGCCTTTCTTTTCAGAGTAGTCGGGGACTACGGATTCAGCAGAATCCGAGGAGAGTATCTCCTGGACTGGGCTTGTTTTGGAATCCATTGCACTGGCAACACGCAAAAGTTGCGATTTCGGACTCACACCTCGGCTTCATGATTGCGGGCATCGAGATGCTATATATCTATGGATAAAGTTCACATGGAGCGGTGCGATAAGTGCACGCTAGAGGATAGAATGCTCACGCTTCTGACGGAATCTTGAGCATAACTAACGCCACTTGCTTTAACCGTCGTAATTGTATTGTCTTACCATAGAAGCGTAGGGAATGAAATGACTAGGATGCAGCTTGCCTGCCCTTTCCAGGGTGTCGACAAATCGACGCTCCCCTACGATAACAGCATCCTTCGTACATCGGCCGACGAACAGATGCTGGAGGATCAATCGTGAAATACTGAGCTGCCTGTCCTGGCACGATCTGCCGTCCGAGGGCCCCGTACAGCAAACGCTCCGATTTAATAGATGACCTTCCTTGATTTAGTGGATGCCTTATCTACATTCATTGTTCTGGAACAGCAAACGCCAAGGTGCTAACATGGAGAAGAATATGCAATCAGGAAGCTGGTAAAAAGGATAAACTCGCGCCGAAGATAAACCTAGATCATCGAGCAGATTGGTTCCTCGAACCTATAGGAGGGTGTGAATTTCCTGGCACAGGCCTTGCCTACCTTTCCATAAAGAGGATGTTCTCGACTCGGACTGCTGAATTGCGAATCGTGGGATTGCAGAAGTCTCAATTTCGTAATGTTACCAAATAGGAAGGTGGCGCCACTGCCATTTGTCCGCAGCGACACAAAGTGCGAGCTTCTTTGGGGAATTCAAAATCCCACCTTTGCTGCTGCGCTCCAATCGTATGGCCTGGGAGACGATAGAACCTTTCTGGGAATGAGCTTCCTATCTTGAGGTGTTTTTGGGATGGTAAGCACTTGAAAGAACAAGAGGTTGCCGGCCTCCAATTCTGAGCTGGTGACTGATAGGCGCCCGTGCATCCTCAGGCCTGGGATTCCCCAGCACGAACTGACTACTGATGCCAGCCAGGGCGAGTACGAGTCCGTAAATCGGGCACCGGACAGGACCAATATCAGGCATGCTGGCGGATAATCGAAATCGGATGTGGCCATGTTGAGTGCCTTGCGCATGATAGTAGTGGGCCGAGCCCTCGAAAAACGAAGATGAAAGGGGGAAGGAGGGGTCTAAATATCCCGTGGGAAATGAGTCAACCTGGAGAGAGCGGTTGCCTAGAGATTCGGAGAAGGGGGGATACCACCCCGTGCTGACTCCATGGAGCAGCTTGCAGCAACCAATCCCTTCACAGTGCTCGTATGCACCATGCAGCGACGAACAAAAAGGGTGCCACCAATATTAATCATCAACAAGGACTTTCAAGTTTATTTCAACGTCTTCAGAATTCAATTTCTGCTACTCGAGGCTCTTCCTGTAAAGCATTGCTATTAAGATACCGGACCTGCCCTGCCTGCAAGTTGCATGCTGTCCAGGCACCCTTGCTCGCCGAGGTACACTCGTTCCGATCCAAAAACGATAAAATGAACGAAAGTCCACTATAATATTAATTGATGTAAATCATATTAATCGGAATCATCGTGTATCTTATAGTAACTAGTTCCCCATTCTCCGTTTTTAATATCCTTAATATCCTGGGAGTTACAAAGCACGTGACTATTTCTATACGAGCTCGTATAGAAATTTTCGCGTTTGATAGTCAAAAATTGAAAATGTATAAACTAATCGTGTACTTTAAAAATCAATTACTAGTTAACTATGAATCGCATTAGAACTCGGGTTAATAGGTTTTATTTGCTTGGTTCTGCTCTATAATTGGGTAGCTTAATATTAATCAATTAGGTTGTGGCTAAAAAGTTGTTGTGGGCGCAAAAGGGCGACCGTTTTGTCGTTTTCGGATCGGACCGACTGTAAAGAGATCGCGGCATAAAGTATCGGGAAATACGGCATTTTGACCTTTGGTGTTCTACAGGGAACGAATTTAGGGCAAGCCTGTGCTATAAGCTCCTATAACTCTAGGCAGTGCTCCCTAAATAGGCGCAAAGAGGCGCAATAAGAGATTTGCAGGAGGTAGTAAATAGAGCTTCCAGAGTTATGGCGCTGTTAGTAGAGCAACTATAGCGCCTTAATATGTACGCTGGATAGCCTAAAAAGTCTCTCAATGCGCTGTATTCCCGATTCTTTATACTGCGATATCCGTGAATATTAGGAAATAGTAGATATAGGAGTGTTATATTCGCTTAATCGAGGTAGAGTACTATAGACTAGGAGGATAGGAATAATTCTACTAATTCCTATAGTATTATTAAGAGCCTTAAAAGCTATTTATAGGGCTATTTCCTTACTAATTCCCTTGATTTCGGCTATAATAATTAAATAGATATATCGAACTAGCCTATAGTAATATTTAATAATTCCTATAAAGTTATAAGCTTTTATAAAAACGATTTTTACTTTAGTTTCTATTATATTTATAAGCTAAGTAAACTCTTTACTAGTAAACTACTTTCTGGAATTTACTATAATCTAATTAAAAGGGCCTAAATAGATATTAATCTAGTATATCTTTAGAGTATTCCAGATATATATAATACTAATATTCTGGAACTAATAGCCTCTATAATATCTAATATTCTTATTAATAATATATAGAATAAGCTTTCCGAAATATAAAATATATTAATAGTAATTAAAAAATTAAAACTAATATTATCTTTTAGATTAAACTTGAATTATCTAAATAATTTTCTATTCTTCTAATATTACTTATAATATATTATAAGGTATTCTAGGGCTTCTATATTAATTTTATAGCTAGCTTATTCTAATAAATTTCAGAGCTTATTAACTAATAAGTAGCCGAATTAGTAATAAAGATATTATAATTTAGTTTCTATTAAGAAATATAGATTATAAATAAAAGACTTAGAAATAAGGCTTTATAATATATTATTCTAAAATAAAAAAGAATAACTAAAATATTATATAATAAATATATAATATCTAGTAAAAATAGTAATATAATTAATAAAATTATTAAAATAAACTTATAACTTATTTATATTATTTAAACTAAATAGAAATAGAATCTTTTAAAATATAATATAGAATTATATTTACTTAATTAGTATTTCTACTATTATAAATTTAATAAAAATAAAAGAATTAATACTAAAATAGATAATAACTTAATTCTTAATACTTTTATTAAATATAATACTATTATTAGTTTATTATAAAGCTTAAAATTAATTGAAACTAATAATTAAGTATTTAGAAACTCTAGTATTAATTATAATTTTATAAAAGTACTAGCTATTATATTTAGATATATCTTTTATTATAAAAGTTTAAGTATTTTTATAAGTAGTTTTTTAAATTCTATAATATAATTCTTACTTATTAACTAATTGTCGGTTTACTAGTAACGCATGGCACCGTTACATAAGTCATAGAATGCTATTTGTATATGGTTAGTAAAGTTATTATTATTCAGAAGTAGGGATTACAGTATCGTAGTATTAATATGCAATCCCTAAATCTGCTAAGCCTAAAGGGGTCTAGTCTACTGGTCGAGTTACTAATGGGATGCGAGGTCACATAACCATATCCCGTATCCCATATCCCATTGCCCATATCCCATTACTCATATCCCGTATCCCGTATCCCGTAACTATATACGTAACTCCCAAAGGAATAGCTATACTAATACTGGAAACTCTCTAAAAACGCAAAAAACAGTATCTCCCTCCGATCGCATACAAATTCCCTAATCCGGCCTAGTACCAGATTTCCCAAACGCTCTGTATATTCATATCGCTTCCGAGGTTTTGGTTACATACCAAAGGCCACGGCCTTTTGCACGTGACTTCCCCTCCTATAATATCCTTCTATCCCATATATCCATTTTCCGCCCTATCTATACTCGACCCATTCCTCCATATCTAATTATATGGTATTCGTATTAATTAGGTACTTGAGGGCATTCGTTAGCTTTGATTTCGTTATGGAATCGGCAGGATTCGATTCTCCTTTAATCCATTTGACTTCTGCGATCTCTCGTTATTTATATACCTGGCGGAAGTATATTATATTAATTATTAGATGCTTTTCTCGAATAATTCCCAATTTGATAAGGCATTCGTATAACGACTTTGAATTCGTATAGACTACTAGTAGTAGTTCTATTTCCAGTACTCTATTAATTATAGATTTAACTAAAGTACCTATATTAAAGCCGTAAGCCATACTATAGAGTTCTGAAGCTAGAATACTTCTGGTAATTCTCTTATATTTAGTAGAGAACTAGTAAATAATATTAGTATATCTAGTTCCGTCTACTAGAACTAGAACGTATCCGATTTGAAAGAAGAGATCTCTATTATTTATAAACAAAGTATCTGTAAAAATAATTAAATATAAGGACTTCTTTATTAGCTTTACAAATCTCAGTCCTCTAGTAGTATTCTCAATTTGCTATTAAATACGCTTATTAAGTGCCTTTATATTAGTTTCCGAGAATTTAATAGCTTAAATAGCAATTAATAGGTTATATAAAGCTTCTGGTTAATAGACTAATATAATATATACTTCTCTAGTATATTAGGTAATATATTAGTCCTTAATAAAGAGATCTTAACAAATAGTGCCCCTACTATTTATAATAGTAGTATTCTTTATAGAAATGATTCGGAGGTTTTTATACTAGTATTCCTATATAAGAGTAATTCTAGTAGTATCCGTATAAATAATACTTCTATTAAACTTGAGATTATAATTAATAGTAAGGCATTTATACTTCTTAGCCAAGAACTTAGCCTCTTGGAGCTTTAGTTACTTCGTCTTTACAAAATCATTATTTCTAATAAATAGAGTATTATTAGTTTAAAGGCTAATAATTCCGAAGAGTTACTTACTATAGAGGAGGTAAGGGTTATAAGTTAACTATTTCATAGAAAGCTTATTAATATAGTAGGAATAGTAAATCTTGAACTAGTAGTTCCCAGCTTCTAATATACTATATA